CAGTGGTGATTCCCTGGTGGTCCAGTGGTTACAGTGAACTCTAGCCCGCGCTCCCGGGCTAGAGTTCACTCTCGCGAGATTTGGAGCGTTGCACGCTCCAAATCTCGCGAGAGGAGGACCCGGAGGAGCTGCAGACTGAGCTCCCGGGTCCTCTCTCTCCCTCCCCTGCCGGCTGTCAGCACAGTGTCTGCGGACCGGGGAGGGAGATCTCTGATCTTCCTCCCCGGTCCGCAGGCACATTGCAGGGCTAGCACCTGCATGTGCTGGCAGGGGAGGGAGACCAGTGGATTTCTCGGGGGGGGCAATTGCCCCGTTGCCCCCCCCCGGATCCGCCAGTGGCATAGCAAGGTATATGAACCGAATTGGTCTACTATAAAACAGAACCAGAGTTTGCCGTATGGAAAAAAGTGAACGAATGCGTGCATAACTGAGCAAACTGCCGAAAGCTCCATTATAATGAACAGAAAGAGCAGTGTTATTCGTCAAGTTTGACTGACCTAGATGCAAGATATGTACAGATTGAATTAAAACCGAACGGAAGGCAGCATGAATGAGTGCTTTCGGTAAAATGCATTGAAAATGAAGTGACACGAAATGGTGTGCATGAGTACCATATGGAATACATTAGAAACATACCGAAAGGATTATAGCACGAATTTATGAACCGAAATGGGAAAAAACCATGTATGATTTGCGACATTGTCGTAAGGCCAGAGAGCCGTAAAGTGAGGACCCGTTGGAATACGGAACGCCATGGGAATGATCCAGGCATCGGACTTACGATTTTGAAGTCCCTGGGACGTTATCTTCGACGAAGACCGGAGTATACAAGGAGCTGGACGGGCGGAAAAGACCTTCAGGAAAGGCTACCCTTGAAGAAACCGTGGGTTTCTGAAAACCAAGATAGCGCCGTATGGGAAACCGGAAGTGGATCCTCATGCAGCGCTGACCTCAAACGGTATGGAGCCAGGTAAGGGGTGTCCCTTAAGTAGGGAAGGTGTGTGTCATACGCCCCTCCCACAATTACAGGCCAAAAGGCCTTAATATATTGTGATAAAGTGAAGGCAGATAGGCCTTTTAACCCCAGGGGGAGTATGTGTAGGATGTGTTGTAGGCAACACAAAACACTGTTTAGTTATGGGCCCCTGGGGTGGAGCATTTGGAGAGAAGGGTGGGCCAATGCTCCACTCCACAGTTTAGTGGTTTTCTGGGGAGACATAGATCCAGGCCAGGGTTTTTTGGATCGTCTCCAACCCACTGCTCAGCTGCAGTTAATGAGCTGTTGCAGTGGGAATAAACTCCTCCCTGCTAGGCAGGTAATAGAGAGGGATTGCTGGCTTCCTCCCAGGAAGCAGGTAGGAGAGAGGCTGTTCTCTCCATATAGAGGGATTGCTGGCTTGGAGCACTGGGCGTGCAGAAAGGAAGCAGTCAGGGCAAGGCTGGCTTGGAGCACTGGGAGTGCAGAAAGGAAAGCAGTCAGGGCAAGGCTGGCTTGGAGCACTAGGAGTGCGGAAAGGAACGCAACAGGCTAGCCAGCAGAGTGTTGCTAACTAATAAGGTTGGTGCCATATGTTTTGTTAGTTTAACCCTGAGAGATAGGGAACCTAAAGTGAGTTAGTGCTCAGACCGAGCTAGGTTTTTGTTTAGAGGGTTTTGTGTTACATCTGTTTTCATTTACTGCTGTATCCTGTGTGAACTTACAAATAAAGTGCCTGGAGTATTTGCAATTACAAGGACTGTGCATGTTTTTGCCCTAGAGGACCGTGCTACCTGCAAACAAGGATCACAATATATATATATATATATATATATATATAATATGCAAAAAATAAGAGATGCACTCTAAGGACTTGTATAATCAAAAAATGCAGTATTTATTAAAAAGAAGGATTACATAATACGATCGACGTTTCGACCCCTCAGGGTCTTCCTCAAGATCAATATGTCAAAATCAGTGAAATCAATAAATAGTGAAATAAGAAAAGTACTCACCAATGGTGAATTGCCTCCCTCACCCTCTCCGTGCGAACCCGGAAGTGAACCCGCGGTCACGTGGTGCGGCGTAATGCCGACGTGATGACGTGTCACTGGTTGCTAAGATACCAGTGAAACAAGTGGTGAATAAGAGCGTGTATAGTACACGCTGGATAAAGCAATGTATAACAGTGTGCCCATGTTGCAAAATGACCAGTATATTGTGTATAACGATACACAGACAAAGTGACAAGTGCTGATGAATAAGTGCCAGTGCAGAAATAGAAAATGTGATAACACATTGCAAATATGTGATTGCATGAATCCAAGTGCTTAATGTGCTACTACCTTCTGTAAATAGGTCAAAAAGTACAAGGAAGAATCACACATAATTATAATTATAATAGACATCACCTAAGGCTAAAGCAGAGTTTCAGTTTAACAAGACGAACAGGGCAGTATAAAACAAGACTACAATAGAACCTGTATGTGTGATCTTAAAGATATATAAGCATAAATAGGTAAGAGAACAAAAAGTAAATCATTAGATGAGACCATTAATGCTCATTCTCATGGAGCTCTATACTATTGATCCATACCTCACTGATACTAAATGAGAAAGATTTTTTTTCTATATAATTAAGAAACTGTTAATCATTAATAAGAGTGGTCACAGACCACACCATATAATATATATAGTAATGTGTACGGACAGTCACAGAAACACAGAAAATGTAATGTTTTCATTCAGCCCTTTCGGGGCAACCGTATCCAGTCGGTGTATCCATTGAGCCTCACGCTGTAACAACATCCTGGATCTATCTCCACCCCTAGGCATTGGAGGAATGTGATCGATGGCAGTGAACCTTAGAGAAGGTAATCTGTGTCCCATGATCAAAAAATGTTTAGCTACAGGCTTATCGCTCCGTTGATCTCTGAATGCCGTCATAATGGTAGACCGGTGTCCTCTTATCCGGTCCCGTACTGTTAAGTCAGTCTTCCCCACATATGAGAGACCGCAGGGACACGTGATCATGTATATCACATGGTCAGTGGTACAGGTAATGAACTGTGATATTTTAATTTTTTGACCGGAATGTGGGTGTGCAAAAGTCGTACCACTGACCATGTGACCACACGTCACACATCCACTGCATTTGAAGCATCCCTTTTTGGAGATAGTAGTGGTTTTACGGTAACATGCTACTGGATCATTTTTCACCAAGAGATCTTTACACAGACTGCTGAGTCCACACACACACACAGACTGCTGAGTCCACACACACACACAGACTGCTGAGTCCATACACACACACAGACTGCTGAGTCCATACACACACACACCCACACAGACTGCTGAGTCCATACACACACACACCCACACAGACTCTGCTGAGTCCATACACACACACACACAGACTCTGCTGAGTCCATACACACACACACACACAGACTCTGCTGGGTCCATACACACACACACACACACACACAGACTCTGCTGAGTCCATACACACACACACACACAGACTCTGCTGAGGTCCGCGCACACACACACACACACACACACAGCTTAACGAGTCCATACACACACACACATAGACTGCTGAGTCCGTACACACACACACAGACTGCTGAGTCCATACACACACACACACACACAGACTGCTGAATCCATGCACACACACAGACTGCTGAGTCCATACACACATACACACATACACAGACTGCTGAGTCCATGCACACACACACACACACACACACACACACAGACTGCTGAGTCCATACACACACACATAGACTGCTGAGTCCATACACACACACACATAGACTGCTGAGTCTATACACACACACATACACACACACAGACTGCTGAGTCCATGCACACACACACACACACACACACACAGACTGCTGAGTCCATACACACACACATACACACACAGACTGCTGAGTCCATGCACACACACACATAGACTGCTGAGGTCCATGCACACACACACACACACACACACACACACACAGACTGCTGAGTCCAGCCCACACACACACACACATAGACTGCTGAGGTCCATACACACACACATACACACACACGCATAGACTGCTGAGGTCCATGCACACACACACGCAGACTGCTGAGTCCATACACACACACACTTAGACTGCACAGGTCCATACACACACACATACACACACACAGTTGCTGAGTCCATACGCACATACACACACACACACAGACTGCTGAGTCCGTACACACACACAGACTGCTGAGTCCATACACACACACATACACACACGGACTGCTGAGTCCATACACACATACGCTGCCACACGCACACAGACTGCTGGGTCCATTGCACACACACACACAGACTGCTGAGTCCATGCACACACACACACACACACACACAGACTGCCGAGTCAATACACACTCACAGACTGCCGAGTAAATACACACTCAGACTGCTGAGTAAATACACACACACTGCTGAGTCCATACACACACACACGCACACACACACACAGAGACTGCTGAGTCCATACACACACAGAGACTCTGCTGAGTCCATACACACACAGAGACTCTGCTGATTCCATACACACACAGAGACTCTGCTGAGTCCATACACACACAGAGACTCTGCTGAGTCCATACACACACAGAGACTCTGCTGAGTCCATACACACACAGAGACTCTGCTGAGTCCATACACACACACACAGATTCTGATGAGTCCATACACACACACACACACAGACTCTGCTGAGTCCATACACACAGACTCTGCTGAGTCCACACACACACAGACTGCTGAGTCCATGCACACACACAGACTGCTGAGTCCATACACACACACATACACACACACAGACTGCTGAGTCCATACACACACACATACACACACACAGACTGCTGAGTCCCACATACACACATGCACACACACACACACAGACTGCACAGGTCCATACACACATAAGCACACACACACACAGACTGCTGAGTCCATGCACACACACAGACTGCTGAGTCCATACACACACACACATACACACACACAGACTGCTGAGTCCATACACACATACTTGGCGCACACACACACACACAGACTGCTGAGTCCATGCACACACACAGAACTTCTTGAGTCCATACACACACACATACACACACAGACTGCTATGTCCATACACACACACAGACTGCTGAGTCCATGCGCACACACACACACACACACACACACAGACTGCCGAGTCAATACACACTCACAGACTGCCGAGTAAATACACACTCAGACTGCTGAGTAAATACACACACACTGCTGAGTCCATACACACACACACGCACACACACACAGAGACTGCTGAGTCCATACACACACAGAGACTCTGCTGAGTCCATACACACACAGAGACTCTGCTGAGTCCATACACACACACACACAGATTCTGATGAGTCCATACACACACACACACACAGACTCTGCTGAGTCCATACACACAGACTCTGCTGAGTCCACACACACACAGACTGCTGAGTCCACACACACACAGACTGCTGAGTCCAAACACACACACACACACAGACTGCTGAGTCCATACACACACACAGACTCTGCTGAGTCCATACACACACACACACACACAGACTCTGCTGAATCCATACACACACAGACTCTGCTGAGTCCATACACACACACAGACTATGCTGAGTCCATACACAGACTGCTGAGTCCATACACACACACACACACACAGACTG